CATGAGACACTCGTGTTTTTTTATTTCTTGAATGTACAAAGACTAATTAACCTTCTCGTCTTCTTTCTCCTCTTTTATTCGTGGTTCCTTTCACTTCCATCACTCCGAAGTTTTCCTTCAATGCATTTCATGGAAACCATAGTACCTAAGTTACCCAAAGCAAAACAAAGTTAAAAAAGGTGCCGGAGGACTTCTGCCAAAATAAGGGGATCATCATTAGATGCATTCGTATGGATGGTTTATATATATATATATATATATATATCTTCTATCTATCTTGAATCTCTATAATTTGAAGGGTTGTGAAGTTTAAAATGTCCTTACATATATATATATATGTATATATAAGTCACTACTATACGCTCATATGCCGATCAGATGCTCACATATGTTTAATAGTATTTAAATTTTAATTGTTTTTCTACAAATCCAAATCACTTGAAATTTTAGATGTGAGTTCTTTTCATTAATGCACACTTTAAAAATATAAAAAATATAATTTGTGAAAAATAAATTGATCAAAATACCCCCCCGAAATATTTCGGAGGTATTTTGATCAATTTATTTGATGTAAATTTATTTTTTTTATATTTTTTATAGATTCGTCTATTTTTGAAGAATATATATCTAAAATTTCAACTATTGTGTCAACTACCACACTACTACCTCTGTCTAGAGCCAATGTCAAAATAAAAGTGATTCTTAAATCTTCATCAATAATAAAAGGAAAATTTTAATTCTAGTACTTCAAAATCACATTGAATGTAGGAATGGTGGTCAACATTTGTCACATTTTATAAATGTGTAAAAGAGAGACAATGATTTCTCTGTCTTCTTCTCTAGTTTAATATATTTATAATAAGGGTGTCCTCATGGCGCTCCCAAAAGACCAAAGTCCCTAGCAAGCAACAATCTTCCACTTCCGCCTCCAATAACTATGATGTAAAATGGGTGACAATAGAGGACGTCATACGTCTCATTTCTGTTGTCGGATCTAGATTTTTCTCCCATCCAAACGACATATCCTCCAGAGGGAGAGCTCCCTTACATTTTCCTGGGGCATGTGGAAGGGGTGCGAAAATTGCATTTTAAAAGGGGAAGCCTAATCAGTCGCACTAGGAGCCAAATGAATCTTTTAGCTCTCTTGAGTTAAATTTTATGGTTTCCCAATGAATCATCTAGAATTTGGAGTAGTATGTACTATTTACTGACTGTCTAAGGAGGACTATGTGGGACTCATCGAGGCCCCGATCAGTGTGAAAATTTACAGAGGCCGACACAGAGACAGAGGACCCAACCTCCTATCACTCACTGATCAAAAAGTTGGAAATTCTTATAACTCTCTTCAAACCATTTTTCTGCATTTATTCCTTAAATGTGATCAAGTGAAAGATTCATCAATATTTTGCCAGTTTCAACTGACTGTCTAAGGAGGACTATGTGGGACTCATCGAGGTCCCCATCAGTGTGAAACTTTATAGAGGCAGACACAGAGACAGAGGAGAAAGTGCTTCTTATATGACCCAACCTCCTATCACTCACTGATCAAAAAGTTGGAAATTCTTATAACTCCTCTTCAGACCATTTTATTGCATTTATTCCTTAAATGTGATCAAGTGAAAGAGTCATCAATATTTTGCCAGTTTCATGGCAATTAGCAAGTTCTTGAATCTTGTGCCTAAATCTCCACTGACTTACCACTATGAGAATGGGCTGGGGGCTTGACAGTAGTACCATCGAGTCCTATGATAAAGTCTCTGACTTCTTTCTCAGGTAGGAGCCAAAATTCTGACTTCTTTCTCACTAAACGGTAGGAGCCAAAATTCCCACTTGTGTTTTTTTTTAAATTAACTAATTATATATATATATATATATATAATTTTACATGAAAACAATTGACCAAAATACCCCTATAAAGTTTTGTGGGTATTTTGGTCAATTTATTTTATAGATTATTTTATTTTATATTTTTATTAGGTGCGGCTTGATGAGAAGAACACACGCCTAAAATTTCAAGTGATTTAAATTTGTAAAAAAAAAATAAAATTAAAATACTATCAAATATCTGTGATCATCAAATCGGCCCAAATTCAATCGAAGCAGCAAGACTCACTTTTTCTTGTGAGCCCACTGGCTCACATGATCACTTTTTCTCAAGCCTAGCCTTTTTTTTTTTTTTTTGTTCTTTTGCCTATTTCATTTTTGGCCTCTTCTTCTCTTTTATAACTCTTCCAAATTATTTTCCCAAAAATACTTTCCACTCTTCCTGATCTTCCTTTCTTTCATAAGTGATTCCCACGCCAAAGTTAAATAAAGAAATCATAGCACATAGGTAATTACCACACATTAATTGCTAAATATTTTAGTTAGAGACTTGGAGAAAATTGAAACCTAGTGTAAATACCACATAATAAAGAGGAATGCATGGGAATTCATGATATCATAAAAGCATTTTGAAAAGAATAAAAAAGCGAATAAACCACATACATTTTGCCTTCAAAACTAGAATCATTCAAGAAAAGAAAACATGTAAATTTGAAGTCAATTTTATGTTGAGCATGCATTTGATGAATATACAACTGTGTTTTTCTGAAGAAAGAAAATGTTTGAAAAATGGCAATCCAGATAAAGAATCATGATTCTAATTCGAAATTGGAGGGGACCAACGGGTTCCTTGCTGGAACCAAGAATTGGTCTCTTGTATAGATTGCCCTATTATGTCAGAGAACCGCGTGAGTCTGTTAGAGAGTTAAGTAATCTGGATTAGCCAAATCACTTGGTTTCGACCTATTTTATTTTTTAAAATAGAAAGTATTATTTAATTTCTTTGGGACAAGTTTCTACATAAGAGATTGGGTCCAATGCAGTCAAGATTGGCGATCTAGATCAGTCCAGCCATTAACTGCTTCGGCAACTTGACCTGCGTTTGAAAATTCATAATAAAAGAAAAGAAAAAAAACCATGTACTTTGAAATGTATGAA